AGATGCACCTACAATTGCTAAGGGTTACCGGCTTACCCTCTTACTGGAGGCTCATACTCTACTTTTTGTAGGGCTTTGGGCCCAAAACCTTCCAATATCCTTGAATTGTGGAATAAACTTTAAATCACAGTATAAGATATCTAGCCTTAAAAAGGGATATTGGAAGTCGTGGGGGCCACGGGTAGTCCCACCAAGCCGTCAAACCCTGCTTAGAGGACCGTAGGCCGTAGTAACTAGGGGTATAGGAACGTAACTATAGGTATACTTAGTATCCCCAATCAAGGTACATATACCCTTACTTACCACGTCGCATGAAACCGTCGAAACTCGTGGTCACGACTGGACTGTCTGCCGGCCTCTTAGAACCTGAACCCACTAGTTGGAGGATCATGGGACTTAGTAAGTACGGATTCCTTTAGGGCTCCTTTCCGGGATCGGGGAACTGCACGGGTTCAGGGTTTATAGGGTCTACTTGAAGGACCATGGGACTTAGTGAGTAAGGTTATACGTAAGCTAAGGGGTCATAAGTAATATCATAACTGTAGTTACCTTCATTACTGTTGCTGCGAAGTCCCATGATCCTCTAAGTCTAAGTATGAACACCTTCATGTACGGTCCTTCATAAGTAACTTAGAAGCGATTTCTTGGGTATAGCAGCATGTGGTATAGGTATGACCAGAAACCCCAGGAATAATATTGGTCGTTATTCACGCTCCTGTAATACCTTTAGAGGAACTCTTGTGCAGGACTGGCTGAAGCCCTGTAATGCTCGCCGGATGGACAAGCCCGTCACGAACGTGATCACCCAATGCCCTGGCATTGGCTTAGCCGCAGTTCCACTAACACCAAGCCCTCAACCCTTGAAACCACCTAAACAAACTAAATCCTGAACCGCACGTCTGACTATCATTCTCATATCCTCATGGCGAGTTTCCATCTGTGGTCTTCGGAAGGGCAGCGGTTTCAGCTTTCGACTTTTGAGGTTTCAGGGCTGAAGGTTTAGGGAGTTGGAGGTTCAGAGTGCAGGGATGTTGTTTAGGTTTCAGGTATTCTGTCTTGCATTTGCGATAAACCTCGCGACTACGTAAAGCATCGGCCGGTTGGTTATGAGCATGAGAACACGAGGCCTGTCTAACCACAAATATACCACTGAATTGAAAAAAGACACCCCGTAAAGCCCCAGGCTTCATATTTGGGAGCTTCAGTTTCAGAAAACAATACAGCCGAAGATAAAACACAAATAGAAGCATCCACGTTTTAACGACGGCTAAATAGGGTATTGGTATACTATCTGTACTTCTAGTATCACGCACTTCGGCGGTTCGTGGGCACTACAAGCCCTGCACCCCAGTAAACCTAACCTAGTCGAGCAAACCTAAACCACGACGATGAGCCCTAAACTCCTCACTACTCCAACCCATACAACACTGTAAATAAACCCTACTCCATCGACTCCACCGTCATAGCCCAAAGGGTCCTATATGCTGCTATGGGGCATACTACCCTAGGCCATAATAGTAATTCCTAATATGGAAACCCTACATTCTACTGTGTCGGCACATAGGACCCTTTGGCTAGGCCACTTGAACTGCCCTACGCCCCCAAAGAGCCCTGACCATGGTTCTGTCATGGCTGACTTGCTTGGGAGTCCAGGGCTAATCGGGTTTTAGGGGCTTCTGTTTTGGGGCTTTTGGGTCTTAAATGCGTCTAGGGCCTCAGGGCTTTTCGTTCAGAGCTTTGCACGCAAATGTCGGGTTCGGGCGCTGGGGGAACGAAACCCCTAAACCGAAATCCGTGTTACAACACTACTTATTGGCTTTGGGACTTGTGCCGGAGGTTTGCCGAAGCAGTTGCTCTCAAAATTAGGCGGTCAGAACTCATGGCTTTGGGAGTGAGGGTGATGAAGCCTCAAAACCGTGCCGTGCTGATACCTTTGTCGAGTTGTATGGTGTTATATCCTGGTCAAGTTACTGCTTCCGGCCATGAGAGACTGTTGTCGAACTGTTTGCCCTCACTCAGCGCACGGAATCGTGTGTCTCTGGATGCCAGGTGGGACCCCCACCGAACGCCAACACATGGTCGGCTGAGCTGACGCCGCGTAAACAGACATGCACCCGGGCCACCGGAACGGAAAATTCTCACTGTGAGATCCCTGAAGTTGCACCCTGAACCCCTGAACCCCAAGTCCTTAACCCCGAGACCCTAAACCCCAAACCCCTAAACTCTGAACCCCAAAACCGCCCCCTCTTAGGTTCTGGATGCAAAATGCCCCGGGGCCCCGGGTGCGAGAGGAGAGGAGTCGCTGGATCGGCCTGGCCCTGGGACTCAAGGCCAGGCCCAGGACGACAGTTTTGGGAGTTTCCGAAAATCAGGGGTACCGTATTTGGGGGTCCTTATAACAAGGATCCTACTATTTAGGGTACTATATTAGGGTCCCCTATTTTCGGAAACTCCCTTTTCTGTCTGCTGCTTAGTCGGGAATGGGGGAATGGACCCCTAT